TCTCCAGCTGCCCCAAGGTCTGCTTGCAAAGGCCTGGCTCTGGCGCTGGCCTCCAGGAAGCAGGGTGCACAGACGTGAGGACGCGGGCTCGCTGCCAGAGGCTTGCAGCCCCACCGGCCACTTACTGCGTCTTTTGGGCCTCAGTTTCCTCACCTGCAAGATGGGGCTATCGGTTCCCACACAGAGCTGATCAAGGACCAAATAAGTAATCCACCCGGTGATGTGTTCAAACACGTTAGTCACCGCCGTTCCTTTGCTCCAGCTGCATGCGGTCACCCTTCCAGAAGTGAGGCCCAGAGCTCGTAGCAATCATGGGCACACCTCTGTGCATAGCCACGAGGGGTCTTTGGGGAGAGTGCCGGGAGTTTGTGACACCAGGATGTTAAGAACTGCCGTTTCCCTGCAGTGCTTTATTTGCCACGTGGACGATCTAGAGCTGGGAAGGGGGATGGTGCTTTCGTCTTAGACTCCATATGTCAGCTTCCACCCACGAACATCCCCAGGGTCCTGGAGAGGAACAGGGCACAGCACCCAGGTCCAGGCGCCATCACCACCCACCAGGACTTGGTGGCTCTCGGTTTCCGCCCTCGTTCCCGTGTCTGTTCCCCCGCGGCCGCCAGAGGGCGCCGGTGAGCCTAAATCAGCTCGGAACCCTCAGTGGCCTCGGCCTCACTGAGGTTAAGAGTGAAGTCATCCCTGCGGAGCACAAGGTCCTCAGGATTAGGCTCCTTCGTTCCCTCTCTGACCTCACCTCCAGACCTCTCCGCATCTCTCACTGGCCTTTTCCCTGTTCCTCAACACTCCCTGGGGAGCTCCTGCCTCAGGGCCTTTGCACTGGCTGTTCCCTCTGCCTTGGATGCTCTTCACCCCAGAGATCCCCTGTGGCTCCCTCCCTCAGTTCATGTGTGTCTGTGCTCAAATGTCACCTTCTCAACGAAGCCTTCCCTTCCCACCTGTTCCTGAGGGCCTCGATGTGCAGTTGAGCAGCTTATTCACTGCACAAGGTACTCACTGAACAGTTTTAGAGGTGACTAAAACATAGCTCATGCTGTGCTCTCCAAATTCTGGGCCTGGGAGGGAGAAAGGGGTGCCATTCCACACTTGGGGACTAGCAGCTGACTTATCCACCCCCTTACTGTTATAGATCGTGTCCCACCAAAAGACATGCTGATGTCCTAACCCCCAGTACCTGTGACTGTGAGCTTATTTGGAAATAGGGTCTCTGCAGATGGAACCAAGTTAGAACGAGGTCACACCAGAGTGGAGTGGGCTGTAATCCAGCACGGCTGGAGTTCTTACAAGAGACACACAGGCAAAGTGGCCGCAGTGGAGAGATGCAGCCACAAGCCAAGGTACACCTGGGGCCACCAGAAACTGGGAGAGACAAGGGAGGATTGTCACCTAGAGTGTGGCCCTGCTGCCACCTTGCTTCCAGACTTCAAGCCTCTAGGCCTGGGCGAGGGTAAATGTTTTAAGCCCTCCTGTAACCTCGACCCAGCAGCCCTAGGAAACTGACATAGCCCCAACCCACGGCCTCCAAATGCCACCCCTAAAACACCCAAAAGCAATGGGGCCAAGGGGGCAGGAGTACAGTTTTAAAAAAAGGATTGGTTTTTAATTTACAAGAGTTCTAAATGTACAGAATTCTTCTTTAAAAAAATTGTTATACACAATAAATACAGTACAAAAAAATTTATCTTACAGTACTAGTTTTGTCTCCGAGATTTCAAAATGTGGCGCGGGCGGCTGGAGGCGGGAGGCACAGGGAAGACTGGCTGTGGGGGTGTGGGGAGGAAGGCCCCGGTTTCTTGCTTTGCTCAGATTTCAAAGTCGAGGGACAGGAGCGTTTGAAATCTCTCTCTCACTCACTGGAGCGCGCACAGACAGAAACACGGGCCACGTGGCTGCAGGCGCGGGCATGATGCCCAGGGCACAGCTCCGAGGCTGACTCCCACCGCCCCTCTCTGGTTTCGTCTTACAGCCCGTGGGGCAGCGGGGAGAGGCCGGGGCGCTGCACGGAGGGACCTCCCAGCTCCCAGGGCCCTGCACACGTGATCTGCGAAGCTGCACAGACCAGACCAGTAGGGAGCAGGGAGACCATCCGGGGTGGGGCCCGTCCCTGGCAAACACGCACGTGTCCCCGGGACAGAGGGGCGGAGTGTGCCTGGAAGCGGGAAGAAACAGGAACGGACACACCAGATTGCCCCTCGTTTGGCAGGGGGGACATTTTACATTTTAGCCCCCTCCCCTAAATCCAAGCCACCACCCCCACCCCCAACAACCCAGCTGATGCAGGAGGCGGGGAAGGAGGCCTTTGTGACTCAAATAACTTAGGCAAGAAAAACTGTCAGGGGATCCCCGGCTCATGTCCCAGGAGGCTGGGGTCACACGCCCAGCTGCCCCTGGCGTCCGCGGAGGGAGGGGCAGGGGAGGCAAGACCAGCCGGGTGTTATCTGTTCAACGTCCTGGCGCCCAGGCCGCCGTTGTGGCTGGAGGGCGGGTAGGGCTCGGGCCTGTGCAGCGGCGACGGCGGGGCGGGCGTGACGGCCGCCGGGGCACCGTGGGGGCACGGGGCTGCGGGCGTCCGGCTGGGGGCCTGCTGGAGGTTCAGGATGCTGTCGATGGCGCTCTGGAGGTGCTCCGTGAGCGTGTCGTCCTGCGGGCTGTCGCTGGAGAAGCTGGCCTGGTCCACGTCGGGCGACTCGGACTTGCGCCGCTTGGTGGGGGGCAGCGGGGGCGCCTCCCAGCCGGGGTCCCCCCTGCCCTGCCCGGCGCCGGCCGCGGGCTCCGGCGGGGCGCCCTTCAGCACGCGCTGGTACAGCTCGTCCTCCACCGCGGCCAGCTCGCGGATCAGCCCGCTGGTGGCCTCGTCCACTTTGCTGGGCAGCGGCGCCGGGCTCGCGCCCCGGGCTCTGCCGCTCGCCGCGCCCTCCGCGGCCCCTGCGCCCAGGGCCTCCACGTTCTCGCGGTACGTCTTGCGCAGGGGCAGGCGGGGACCGTGGGCGGCCTTGCGGTCCGAGGCGGCAGGCGGCGGGTGGTCCACGGTGCCGTTCATCTGGGCCGCGGGCGGCGGCGGCGGCGGGGGCCGGGGCGGGGGCTCGGCCGCCTTG